AGAACTGGACTGGAGTGTTTGGAGGCCAGTACTTTAAGCCTGCTAGAAAAATGCATAGATGACTAGAGGCCCCAATTTGCATCTTTCCTAGTAAGTTCTGACTCTGCACACCCCAAAAATCAAAGCTTAAGAGCCAGGGGAGTTCCAATGATTTTTCATTACAAAGCTGAGATGGCAATGCACCCTGCCAGGAACAAGATCCTCCATGTGACTGTCTTAAGCAAATAGCTTGAGCAAAAAGGTCATAGCTATCTATTACCATTTTTAGAGACACAGTAGATCGGAACAGTCTTTTCTGCCTTCATTTAAAGTGGGTGGGTAATAAGCACTGTTACCATGTATAGTGATTTACTCCAATACCCACAAAACTATAATCCCACAAACATGGGAGTTTACTGGGAGTTTAAAAAACATTCCTACTCTAGAGAAAAAGGGAAGTGAAGATAACAATGAAAATGATAGCAATGAATTTAACTACAAATAAAGAAAAAAGCAAGTAGATAAGGGAGACATATCTGTTAACAGTCCATAGCTTGTGGAGTTAACGAAAATAAGGAATCCTTGCAATGGTATAGGTCAAAAATACCAAACTACCAAAAATAAATAGCAAAATTATCAACAAAGCAAAAAAAGTATTCATTGAATAAGTGTAGTTGTAATGATAAAATAGTAATTATGAGAGAGTTAAAAAAAATCAACTATTAAAAATAATTTTTTAAAAATAAAACAGACTGAAGTGACTTTCAGAGGAACTCTGAACCAACAGTATATTCACTTTTAGAAAAACAGGGAAGACTTTTTTCTACTGGAGAAAAAAATTAATGCTGGCCTAATATTTAATACAGTGAGTTAGATGTCCTGCCAGGTGCTAACAGAATTATACCTAGCATCAGTTCAAGGGGGGGGGAGGGAGAAAGAATACATACATCTCTTTCTATCAATGTGGCTGATCAAAGTCTCAACTGTAGATGGTAAAATTATCAATTAATATGATTTTATGAAAAACAGGTCCAGTGAAGTTACCTTCATAAGGTTTCTGACAAGATTCTAAAACTTGGCTGATAAAAGATAACTGTTGAAGTAACATAATGAAATTTCAGTAAAACATGTTACTCAGTATAACATAAATATAATTAAAAACCAACACTATATAACTGATGGAGGATGTGGTAAATTAATTGGAAACTGACTGTATAATAAGTCTCGTAACGCATACTTAAGTACAGATTCACCCCAAATTACTATTTTGCAAGGACTCATCTAAAAGGAAGAAAAAACAACCTATGGATGACAGAAGATAGTACAAACTGGTGGACTAAATCAATGGAAAGGACCTCTTACAGTTCATACCTACCTACCATAGCAGGGGGCTAGTCTTAACAGCCTAGAACTATAGGACTCAGGTGGCAATTCTTATGTTTCAGGGACAGCTTAGAAAAGAGAGGATGATTCCTACTGTTTTAACATAGCTGAACACCAGGTTGCATACACAGATAAAGAAAGAGAGGTCACTCATTACAGAACCTGGAGTTCTTGGACACGTGTTGTCCACATGCACATTCCACTCTTGATGCACTTCCCTCCACACACTCAACCTCTAAGACTTTTGTTAGCAGCCCCATTTGGCACACATGAACCCTGACTGGAACACGGACACAAAAGGGAAGAATATACCAACTGCACTGACTGCAGTTTCCTCTGAACCACACAATCCCAGGTATACAGGATTACAAGGAACAGGTAACAGTCAGGCTGCAGAATGTGGTTATGTACAATTAATCTCAAAGAAGAATTACAGTTAGTTAGATAAGAAATTTCTCAGTCACTGATGAGTACTTGTCTATGGGTATTTCACAGCTACAGCCAATTACTTCAAAGCAGTAAACCAGTTCAACCACAGGTGGGATCTCACAATCACAGGAGAGCAGTGACTGAAACACCACTTCCTTTGTGCATTGGCAAGAGCAACAAATTAAAAAAAGAAAAAAAATCAGGGCACCTGCACACCTGAACAGGTACTGCAGGCCAAACATTCCTTCGAGTGCTGAGTGCAAGTGCCTCAGTAGCAGACTGCGCATATGGATAATTATGCCAAAGAGAATAAATTGCCTTCATTTGCTTTGCACATGTCTAATGTCAAAAGAGATCTGCCATATGAAGAGCAAACTGGTGGCCATATTGGAGAAGATACATGGTCTAGAAACACAGCCATCAATGCTACATAGCATCTGATCAAATGAAGATTTCTTGAGCAATTAGATTCAGTAAGTTTCCTCCAGAGAGGCTGTAAGCAGACAGAAGAGTGATAACAGAACTGGACAGAAAATCATACTAAAAAAAGAAAATACAAAATGGAATAGAAACAGGAAGCATTTTAACCAGCTAGAAGCATCAAATTTATCAGATCTGAAGTGAAAGGTACTTATACACCCTATCTTTACACCTAGTTTAATGAACAGAAGAAAACTAGGTAAACAAGGATGCAGCAACAGATTAAAAAGATGCCTGAGGGTAGCACATGGGAAGGAAGAACAAAGAAAATACTAAATACTAATAGTGACGTAGGTGATACAGTTAAGGAACATAGCTAATCTGGCTAAGAACTTGGTGAGGTCCGTAAGAAACAAGTGAAGTGCTTGTATACTAAATGCAAGAAGCCTTGGCACAAATGGAGAACCTAGAACTTCTGGTGCAGGATACTGGATATGAAGGGGGTAACAAACATGGTGGAACAGCAGAACTGAGACTCAGGCATTATAGGCCATAAGCTAATCAGGGCAGATGAAAAAAGTAAAGCTGCTGGGGTATCATTGCAAGTTAATGGTGTGTAAAGTTGTGCATGTTAACAACTGTAAGGAAATAAGGAATAGCATGAATAAAACAGAATCCAATAGTCAAACTCATTATGGTGAAGGTATTAATGCCTTGTATCTACTATAGGGGTCCACAATGATTATCCCAGGGGCGTGAAGACAACAGACACCAGCTAAGCCCCCATTTCGTTAAGAAATACATCTGGAAATGATGCAGCTATTACAAACAGAGTGGGCGATCCTTCCCTCCATAAGCCGTGCCCCATAACAGAGCTACCATCTGTACCTCCTCATCCCAATGCTTAGGGCTACCATATATCCAATTTCAAAAAGGAGGACACCTGTCGAGAGGGGGGTGTATATGATTGTGGGAGGAGCAGCGATATGCTGGTGCCCTGCCCCTGTTGTTGGCCGCCCCGCCCTGCCCCAAGCCCTAATGCTGCCCCTCACTTCTGACCTGCAGCCCTCCTGTCCCTGCTGGTGCCTGTCACTCTTGACCTGTGGCCCCTGGGCACTGCCAATGCCCCACACTTCCAACCCACAGTCCCCCACACCTCCCTGGCACCCCTCACTCCTAACCCACAGCTCCCCCAGCCCTGCCAGTGCCCCTCATTCCTGACCCACAGCCCCTTGCTCCCCTCACCCTTGCAGCATCTCTTGACTGCCCCACCCCTACAAGCAAGGGCACTGGCCCCAGTGCCATTGTCCTGGGCATGCAGCTCCCTGCTTCCCCCAAAGAGTCCCCCCTACTCCCTTCCCCTGCTGGAGAGGCTGGCACCTCCCCCCTGCCCTGCTGCAGCACCAGTGTCCAGACAGCTTCCCCTAGCACCAGCAGGCACCTGTCACTCCTCAAACACCCAACCTCTGCCAAACCCATCCACCCACCCATGCCCCCTGGAAGTCCCCAAGCCCTCCAACCCCTGCTCCCCATAGACTTACCTGCATCCAGCTGCTAGGGCTTCTCCTGCCACCCTGCCTGAATGCATGCCAGCCATGTGCACGTACGTGCGCACACAGCACCCCCTGCCTCCAATTGCCCTTCCCCTGCTCTCCCCAGCCCCAAGCAGCTCCTTGCTAGGGAAAGAAAGGTGGGAAGTGCCAGGAAAAACTTCGATGCTGAGCAGAGCAAAAACCCAGATATTTGTTCATATTTTTAAAAACCACCTGGATGGAGATCGGAGGATCCAAAAAGAAGACATGTCTGGGAAAACCTGGACATATGGTAACATTACCAGTACCATGAGCAGTCCTTCTAAGACCCCCATCACCCTCTCCTACAAAAAGAAAAATTATTGGGAGGAGGAAGAGAAACTCTCTCCTCAAACACAAAAGTTGTTAGAAGCTTTCCAAGCCATTTTCAAATCTCCTTTTAGATATCCCTTCACTTAATCTACTTCTAATCCTTCTGCTTCCAATTCACTACTATCCATACTATGCACCAACCAGACTGTAAATTGGGTGGCGTCACAAATTACCCATCAGGTCCCTGGACTTCTCAATGCGGGGTAAGAAAATCCCATGTTTGCCCAGACTAATCTACAGAAAAGGCAAAAATTCCTTCCCAGAAACCTGTTTCTTATAAACCACAAGAAGTGGACAGGGAGAATTACTCAAGGCAGAGTGGCACCCAAATAAAGCAAGGGCTTCAAAGTCTTCTCTTGAGTGCACAGAGCTTAAGTCTTAATGCTGTATCACAAAGGTAACCAGACTTTTTGGCCCCAGCCACGCAGGAATGGGACTCAATTCCTCCACACAGGACCAGTCTGGCTGAGTCCTGATCCAGCCATGTGGGGCTTGGAAATTCAGCAATGGGGAAAAGGTGGCAGTGTTAACTTCCATCACTTCCCACCACCAAATTTCCAGAGCTGTGGGGAGCACTGTGGGTCAGATTACTTGGCTCTATCTAGTCAGTCAGAAAAAAGTCCATGGTGAGATGAAGAGGGAGAGAAGGAAATAATCCTTAAGAGAGGCCAGACAAACTTTCCCCGCAGAAGCTAGAAACAGGGCATTTGCTGAAACTAATCTCTTGTGTGGTATTGTTTGAAATATGCATAAGTATTCCTTGTTTGCAATATTAAGCAGTTCCACTTTTAACAAAATATCTAAGTTGTGAGAGTGTGAAAATGAAACTACATGAAATAGTATTATAACAATGATATCAAATAAAAATGAATGTGATGTGCTCACCCAAGACTTCTCACAAGCTTTGCAAATTCCAGGAGACAAGTGTTTGAAGGAAGACGGAGCTGTCCTTCAGCCAAAGCTAGACAGCAGTCTTCAAATGTGTAGTCTGTCACTGGAACTCCTAAGGCCCTTTAAAAAATAAAAAAAGAAATTCTGATATAGCACGTGTGATATCCTTTCACACCCTCCCCCCAAATCCCCACTATTGTGGTTCTGTACAGCATTAAAATTTTATAATAAATCACCTTCTATATCAAAGCAAAACAAAAGGAGCAGCCAAGAAAAGTGTAAGCACAAGAAAGGGGTTAAAAAATACATTCTTTGCAAAGACAGGTCAAAGAAAGCCACAAAAAAGAATGTTAAATATGAAATCTGAACTTCCTAAATCATGACAGTAGAAAAAGAAATACTGGACTACTTTTATGCACTTTCCATTCTTTAAGCATGTTGGTAGATAAAAAAACAAAAGCAAAACAGTGGATGAAAGCTTAAATAGAATAAAATAAAATAAACCTTTAAAGGGTAACATCCTTATTTACTTTGGAACATAACAATAAAACCATTTTGAAATTACTCACAAAACAACTGTACAAGTAGAACAACAATTACCTTAAGATGGTGTTAAAACTGTAGTTTACAGAACATCTTTTCCCAAAGATAAACAATATACAGTGAGAGAGATTATAGAATACAAATTACAAAAACAAGTGCAAAAGCTTGTTTGAACTTCCTACTAGTTAGGTTAGGGCCAAAAGAAAAAAAACCCAGAAAATTAGAAGATCCCTTATTTCAAAATAAATGCATTAAAAACTGGTTTTACTTCACTTAGAGCTTGACCCTGTGAAGGTATCAAGAAGGGGTTTAAGCTACAGTAGACCCCCGATTTATGTGATTCCGACTTATGCATGTCTCATGTTTACACGATTTTTTATTAGGGTCCGGACTGGAAAACACCCCTTGAAATGCGCATCATTCGTGTATACATGCAAATGCTCGCGAGATTCGCATATATACGCGAACGCCTCACAAGATTTGCAGACAGGATCAAGCAGAGCTGTGCCGCCACTGTGGTAGTAGCATCTCAAGATGCATAGGTGAGACACTAGATGTGCATCCTAAAAGCGATTCCACTGAGAAAAGAGGGAAAAAAGCTATGACTGAGGTATGCAGCCCCTCACTAGTCTATTTTTTCCTACAGGAAAAGTGGTCCCAACATACACAAATTCGACTTACACAAAGTTTCCCCAAAACGCAATACCCATGTAAATTGGGGTTCTACTGTACTGTAATTGTTGGCACTGCCCCAGAAAACGCTGGATCTTGGGGGTCCTCAGCCCAATCCCCTGAATTGAAGTCAATACAGATCTTTCACACATTTGGGGAAAAAAATGAAGCAGCCCACACAGGACCCTCAGTTCTCCTTTCCAGTCTCCTGCTGTCAAAGTACCATATCATATAATCTCTTTTATAGATGGATCAAGCTACTCAATAGGGCTGCACGAAATTTTGCCACCAGTTTTGTTTCAATGCTGTTTCGACTCGTTTCAAGATCGAAACAGCGAAATAGAAACAAAACAAACGTTTGTCAAAACAGCCCCAAAACAAAACGAGGCAAGTCAAAACGTTTTGACTTTCGAAGCTGAAGCTGGGCTTACCTTCAATGCCTGCAGGGAAAGAGAAACTAAAGTAAGGAGAGGGAGGGGGAAGGAGGGGGGGAAAGGAGTGCTTTCATTATTGACTGTGTAGCTGGCCAGTGACCGGCATCCTTCTCTGGGGGAGGGATGGAAAAACTGCAAAGGCAGCAGCATTGTTTAAACTGCCCTGCTTAGTTTCTGCCTTGGTGTCAGTTAGTGAGCTGTCTGTGTTCCAGCAGCTGAGCGTCAGACAACTACAGCTAGCAGCAGCACTGATCTTCTAAAGGATTCCCTACTTGCTACTTCCCTAGCAGGCCTGCAGTTTTCACCCCGCTCTGCCCCAAGACAGAGTCCCACAAGCACCCACGTCACAAGTTTTGCCTGTCAGCGGCTAGAGGTGCAGGGTCCCAGAAGCCCCTGCACCTATCTCCTTGACAGCTGGCAGGCTTCATGGCCTCAGCAGGGGATAGCATGCCTGCAGCTTTCACCCTGCTGCACCTTATCACACACTGTCACCCATGTCACAAATTTTGCTTGTCTGCAGCTTGCAGCACAGTTTCCCCCAAACCCCTGCACCTATCTCCTTGAAACTTGGCAGGCTTTGGGGCCTCAGCAGGGGCTAGCACGCCTGCAGTTTTGACCTCGCTGTGGCTTAACACATACATGCGACATGAGTTTTGCTTTCAAGATTTTGGTTTGCAGTTTCCTCGAACCCCCTGCACCTATCTCCTTGAAACTTGGCAGGCTTCATGCCCTCAGAAGGGGCTATCATTCCTGCAAGTTTATTCCAAATAAGGCAATGACAAAGTTATAGTCTGTATCAAGTTTCCCCATTATAGTCTATGGACGAAACAGCGAAACTGTTTCGACAGAACGGAAAGGAATGGAACAGCAGTTTCGAATCAAAACAAAATTCAAAACAGAACGCTGCCATTTTGCACAGCACTACTACTCAATGCTACTCTAACTCCTGAAACCCATTACTCCCATCAGAAATCCAATCACTGCTCTGATGGTTAGAAAACTTCCGCCAGTTACCAACCAAAACTTATTTATATATGGCTAGTTTATATTCATTTGCTCTCATGCCAATATTGCCTGTTAGTTTCAATTCTATTCCCTCCCTTACAACTCTCGCCCACCCCCATGTATAAACAGAAGTCATATTGTCTCTCAACCTTTGTACTTCTAGGTTAAACTTGAAAAAGCAGAAATCATTTCGTTTCCTCCCAGAACAGGATGATCAAAAAATGGATAAGCCCAATAGTCCTTTTCTGCACCTTTTCTAGCTTGAATTCAGTTTTCCTGAACATGGGGGAACAAAGCTATATACTACTCCAGATGTTTTACTAGCTTCTCATACAAAGGCATTAATACTTCCCCTTCTGTTGGAAGCAGCTTGTTTGATGTACTCTAAATTAGTGTCTGCCTTTTGGACCACACAGGTGGCTCATAAATCACCCTACAATAAATTGATATAGACAGGTCTCTCTGCCCTAGCATTTCCAACTGCTGAGCTCCCTGTTTAACAGAGAAATTCTTGTTATTAGCCGTTACATGCATGGCACTGGACTTTGTACTACTAAATTTAATCCCATTTCTATCACTACAGGCCCAAAAACATCTACTTCCCACACTGTTTTCAGGTATTTGAAGGCTTATCAAACCCCTCACCAGTCTTCTCTTTTCTAGACTAAGTAACCATAATTCTTTCAGTCTTTCTGCATTGCCTCCCAGGTCCCCAGTACTTTTTGCTGCTCTATGCAAGACTCTTACCAATCTGTACACATACTTCTTGGAAGTATAAGGTCCAAAACAGGACGACAGTCAAGATGAGGGCTCACCAGTGCTGAACAGAGCAGAAGAATCACTTCCCTTGATTTGCAAGCAACACTCCTGCTAACAGAGCCCAGTATGGCGGTGGCTTTATTTATTTATTTATTGGTGCAATAAGAGCACACTGATTCATATTCAGCTTCTGGTAAACTAACTCCCACATCCTTAGCTGCAATACTGCAACCTAGCCAGTCATTTTCCAGTCTCTTTTTGTACATTAAATTATTGTACCCTAAGGGCAGGACTTTGCGTTTTCCTTGTTGAATCTCATCTATCTATTCCTTGTCAATCTGGGTGCATCTACACAAGATGTTTACAGTGGAGTTGTCCAATTAGCTCCACAGTAAACATCTTAGTGTGTACACGTGAGGGCCTATTAGGCCACAGTAAACTAATAAACTCTGCAGCACTGCACACACAGATGCTGATGTGGATGACTGGGGGGCGAGGGTGTTTATACCACAGTCAACTTCTCCTGGGTGCAGCATCTACATATGTGCCTAGGACTGCAGCACTTTAAGCCAGGCAGAGTAGCCCAAAGTATAGGGGCCCCAGGGAGGTGAAGTGAAGGGAAGGGAAAGAGGGTTGCCAGTCCCAGGCTCTGGGCAGTGTTGGGAGGTGGAAGGGCTGGCTGGGCCAAAAGGGTGCTAAAGCGAAGGGCTAAGCAGCAGGCAGCCCCCGCACTTTAGCACCCTCAGCCCAGCCAGCCCGTCAGTTTACATGTGCATTGCAGTGCACATAAGTACTCCACTGTAAGATAGTATGTTCCTTTACTGTACTATCCTATGGAGGAGTTAGTTAATTTACTGCGCCCTAATACTGCCACATGCGTAAATGGTGATGCGTTACTGTGGAGCCAATTAGTCTACTCCACAGTAAAGCACACATGTAGCTCCACCCTGAGTAACAGGAATTAAAGTCTGTGTACTTTACAATATTCTTGAGTCAAATGTATTTAACACTGCAACACCCTACATTTACCTTTAAGCAGTGACCAACCAGCAGCAAAGGGAGCTGCTATGTTCGGCACCCAAGCCCCAGATATTCAAAGGGAGGGTACTCCCACCTCTAGCAGGGGGGCAGGATGATGCTGCTGCAGCAAAAGTTGGTACTAGATTTAACTGCCATGAGCTGGCTTACACTTCCCTAGCCCTGCAGCTGCTGCCAAATTTAGGCCTTTGAATCCTCATTCGCCATATATATATATATAT